CCCCAAAACCCCAAAACCCCAAAACCCCAGCTTGATCAAACCCCGGAATATATTAAAAAGTCACCAAGCGCTAAATATGAAGAAAGCAGAACTTTAACCAAAGAGGTGAAAATAAAAAAAATAGCCACAATTTAAAAATCGCCAATTATGTTAACTCCTCCAAGCTGGTTTTCTTCAAAGAGTTGTTCAACTTTATTTTGGGTTACTCCGCAGCCAGAGACATCTACTTCTTCAAGATTCAATCTTAAACCTGGAGAGCTTGCTAACCCTTGTACCAAGTTATCGAACTCATTTAAGTTGTTCCCCCAGTCACTTCTATCCGAGTGTCCTGAGCCGTCTAAATCTATTCCCTGGATTTGGCAATTCTTCAGAGCCTTTGACAAATCAGGGACACTTGGGATAGATAGCCTGCAACTTATTAATCTCAAAGTTCTCACATGTCTGAAAGCTGCCATGAGCCTCTTCAGTTGGGGCAGGCTGATGCTGAAGTGTGCAAGTCGAACTTCATGAGCGACTTTGGAGCTGAGTCTGGTCAGAGAGTTTAAGTAGTTGCATCTTTCCAGATCCCTTTGGCCACTGGATCAAAAAACGAGATATTTAATTTGATTTGGGAATGAGGATTGCAAGAAATTTACAAAACGCCTATTTTTAGACCCAATTCCATTCAAATCAAGCAAATCTATATCAAAAACCTTAAGTCACTCCAAACTTTTCAAAAGTTCTTCATCTCTGATTTTGTTCAACCAAATGTTAAGTCTACTGTTTATTGAAAATTTATCGAAGTCTGAATCCGATGGCTCAACTCTTTGCCCTTGAAGGACCTTATCGAGGATGCTCTGACATGTGGTGACCTCTTGCTTCTTGGTTTTTGCCAGGACAGACTTCTCTAGGCTACACAATTAGAGGCGGAAGGGGAGGTAGATCAATGTCAGAATCAGTCAGAAAGTTGGAGATGAAAGGGTGCTAATTTAGATTTTGAGAAATCCTAGGTTTAAGGCTTTAGAAGAAATGTTATCTGTGGAGGTCCCAAATTAATCTTTGAGAGGCAAGGCTTATAAACTCTCTCTAGTTTTGCTATGAACTTCTTGGTCAAGAAATTTTCGGTGAAATTATTATAAAAGTTGAAAATTTTGGTTAAACTTTAAAATTTTGAACTAATTACAAATTTGAGAGTGAAATTTTAAAGTATTCTAAAACTAAGCTCTCAGTTACCGGATTATCTGGGTGTTCTCTTCTTCAATATCTTTAGTAATACTTTCCATTTTATTATTATAAAAACTTAAATTTAAATTTTATTTTTCAATATGTCTGCAGAGGAGTGGGGTTTTGGGGTTTTGGGGTTTTGGGG